GTTTCAGATTTCTTTTATTTCTCACATAATGTTTAAGAGATAAGACTTGAATGTGATTACCTGAATTTAAATCCTGAGCTTGGCCATTAGCTGAGTAATGTTGGGTGAGTCACTTAGCCTCTCTGTCTCTGCATCTGTGAAGCAAGGATATTAAGTATGTAAGTTTGTTGATAATAATGCAACTGTCACAGAAATATACATTTCTTAATAGAACTGAGAGTTAACATGTGTGAAGTATTCAGAGCCACTGCTTGGTATGTAAAAAATGTTACACAAGTGTTAGGAACTGTGTGGCTATTTTTTTTTTTTTAGGTGAAATTCACATAACACAAATTTACCATTTTGAAATGTACAATTCATTGCTACTTAAGGTGTTTATAAGGTGGCACAGCATTGCCTCATTAAGCTCCAAGATACCTTTATCACTCATTTCCATTAAGCAGTTAACTGGCCCCCGTTCTCTCCTGCTCTCAGTCCCTGGCACATGTCAGTTTGCTTTCTGTCTACAGATGAACTATTCTGAATATTTATGTAAATGAAAACCGTGTAACACAGGACCTTTCATATCAGACTTCTTCCCTTGCCGCAACATTTTCAAGGCTCCTCTACACTATTGCAAGTGATGGTACTGCATTCCTTCTCATGGCTGAATGATTTGCCATTATATACACCACAGTGTATTGATTCCCACCTTTTGCTATTGTAAAGATGTTAGAAACATTCATTTACAAGTTTGATTTTTTTTTTAAAGATCTATTTATGTATGCACACAAGACCAGAGATGCAGAGGGTGGTATGAGAGGATTCAGAGCCAGAGTGGGGAGCAGAACAGGCACATCCACTGAAGTACACTGCTGAGAGAAGCAGAGGGGAGACAGGAGAGGTCTGCTGCACCTTGTGGGTCAGCTCCCTGGACTGGGATCGAGCTTGTGCTGCAGTGTCTGCAGACAGCTTCCTAGTGCTGTGTTTTAACTCATTGTGCCATGAGGGAGAGCCCCATTTACAAATTATTTGAATGTCTATTTTCAGTCCTCCTGGGTATGTATCTGTAAACAGAACTGCTGGGTCATATGGTGATTCTAGGTTTGACTTTTTGAGGAGCTGGTTTCCATAGGCCTGCACCTGCAGGGTGCAGTGGTTTCAGTTTCTGCAAGTCCCCAATTTACTTTCCATTTGTTAAGGTATGCCATCCTAGTGGGGTCAAAGTGGTACCACATTGTGGTTTTGATTTGCTTTTCCCTAATAACACGTTTGACCTCTTTTTCACGTTTGCTGGCTGTATGTACGTCTTTCTGTAAGAAATGTCTATTCACATCGCTTGCCCACTTTTATATTGGTTACTACTTCTGTTTTTGTTGTTGGGTTTTAAGGATTCTTTATTTATTATGGATACCAGGCCCTTATCAGATAGATAATTTGTATGCTCACTTGGGTAGCAGATAAAATAAAACTGAAGAAACAGCACAGATTAGCATGGCATCCGCAGTAGGATGACTGCACAGTTTTTGAACTGTTCATGTATGCAAAAAGATATATAATATGCAAATATTTTGTCACTCTGTAGGTTATTTCAGTGATAATGTTCTGATACACAGAAGTTGGTGATTTTGACACAATCTAATTTACCTGTTTTTTCTTCCATCAGTTGTGATTTTGTTATCATAGGTAAGAATTTATTGTGAAATCTTAAGTTATGAAAAATTTACTCCTTTTTTCTTCTGAGGGTTTTATTATTTTAGATTTCACATTTAGGACATTGGTCCATTTTGAATTAATTTCTGTATTTGATGTGAAGATTCCAAATTCATTCTTTTGCATGTGAATGAATAGCCAGTTGTTTCTGCTCAAGTTCTTGAAGAGACTGGTCTTTTCCTATCCAATGGTCTTAGCATCCTTTCTGAAACTCCGTTGATCTCAAGATGTATATGGCTCTGTTTCTGGACTATCAACTCTATCCCAATGGTTTGTAATATAAAATTTTGTTAGTACTCTACTGTTTTGCTGCAGCTTTCTAGTAAAAAACGAAATCAGAATATGAGTCAGTCTTCAACTCTTTTTTCAGGATTAACTTTCACACACCTTTGCCCTTCTATACGAGATTTAAGTCCTGCATTTTTCCCAAAAGCAGTCAATGGATCTTTGGGATTCCATAAAATCTGTAGAAGTCCATAAAATCTGTGAAGTATTGCCATTTAAATCTTCTGCTCCATAAGCACAGGGTGTCTTTGGTGTTATTTAAGATGTCTTGCATTTCTTTCAGAAATATTTTATAGTGTTGAGCTTGCCAGTTTGGTATTTCCATATGTAATTTCTTCCTAAGCATTTTATTCTTTTTAATGCAATTGTAAATAGAATTTTTTCAGATTGTTCATTGCTAGGTATAGCTCTTTTGTGATTTTTGTATCCAGAAATTTTGCTGGATTCCATTATTCGTTCTAAACTTTTTCTGATTTTTGTTAGTATTTTACATATTCTCCCCAATTTGAATGATCCATTTTTATTTATGAATCGTTTGTGAGTCTGCTGTCTCCCACTCAAGGTGCTATGTTCCTCGAACTTTTTTTCTTTCTGATTTTTGTGAGCTCTTACTGAGTTCCTGCTGAATCTTGTTGTTACTTGTCTCCTGGGACCATTTATAGACTATGCTTTAGGGTTGGAAGTCTTCACGGACAAATGACCATGACAAATTCTGAGAGGATGTTCTGCGGCACAGAGCACTGGAGTTCCATCATGCAGGCTCTCCCTTGTAAGTGGGGCTGTTTCCCGTGACATCACTGTGCATCCTGGGGATTCAGTCATGAAAATGGCTTCATTCGGTTTTAAGTGTTTTCAGGAAAGCTTGCCAGTGGCTATACTCTTTGTGGAGTCCGGTTCAATTTGGTTGTTTTGAGCATACCCCTTTCTTTCTTGACACTAACCCTAGCCCCTTTCTTTCTTGTTTTACCCCAGCACGTTTAACTCCTTTTACATAGGGAATCGATCACGGTGATTACCCACAAATAAAAACTGAAATTAGCCTCACAGTGCTGCTCTTTTACTTATGGTGGTCAGAAAATAAATTATCTTCTCTTTTTCTATAGTGTATTGCAGGAGTTTAAAAAAAAAAAAAATAAAGCAAGGGGCATTTTAGCGTGGCCATCTGTTAAGTTTTATGGAATACCCCCAATAATACGTCAGGCAGTGTGGTGAGTGAGGAATGTAATAGAACACATCAGAGAAGACCCCAGCTCTCAGAGGATGCCTCTGGACTGCCACGGCGCACTAGGTAGTGGCAGAGCTGTTGGCAGTTCGTATTGAAGAGTTGAGAAAACCACTACTGTTAAGTCGGCATTTGGAGAGGCCCAACAATTAAGGGCATCCGGGTTAAGGCAATTTTAGTAAAGGGAACAAGGGCAACCTCCTCCTGGAAAAGACCACTGTGCGACTCAGCTAGGGCCGAGTGAAGGACTGGGGGAGTGGTGGGCATCAGGAGTGCTTAGGCTGGGGTGAAGGCAGAGCACGTGCACCGCTTTGCGTTTTGGGTTTACTCTGGACAAGGGATACCTCTAAGTTTGCTACCAAGTAAACAGCACGGAGACGACTCTGGAGACGGCTAGTCATCCTGGGAAGATGCAGCAGCAGGACCCTGACAGTCTGACTCAAACTTCAGAGGACCAACAGTAGATGCCTAATATTTGAGGGTGATAGCAAGGTTGTTGCTTGGGATTTGAGCTGTTACAAATCAAAATTTGCTTTTACTGGTGTGTGCATGCACACGCATTTGTGTGGTCATTACCTGTTTCACATCTTGGAAGATCCCGAGGTACCAGGCACCCAGGGGAGGGGCTGGGAGGTTAGCAAGTGACAAAACTAGCCGAGTTCTTAGGCAACTGGGCACAGGAAGCATCCCACTGTTTGGCCTTACTGACAATGTTCAAAATTGTAATGGAGGTCATATAGAAGCTCACTTCAATAGTATGTAAACATGAGTCACTTTATAAAACCATCTTCTACAATATAGGAAAAATTAAGAAGGCGCTTTAATATGTCATCTAGCAAGAGACAACTTGGAAGGAGGTAAATGGTTAGCAGTATCTAGAACAAGATTCCAGGCAAAAGCAATTTGCAGAAACACTGTTTTCAGAGCTAATCTTAAACCTTTCCTCAAAAGCCCTGAGCAGTCACAGGAGCAGGGGAAATGCAGTTAAGACAAACACAAACAGGTCCCGCTACCTCCACTCCTCCCCTTTGTAGACATTAGTGTCATCTTTTAACATTAGCTCTTCTAGGACACTCTAGAGAGAAGTCTGAGGGTAGAGTTGTCCTGTTTTTAAGCCCCCAGTTTACAAAGAACTTACACCTGATTTAAAAAAAGTTTGCATAGCTAGTGTACAGCATCTGCCTGTTTGTGAGTATAGGTTAAGACCTAGTTAACAGGACACCTCTCCACTCTCCCTCAAAAAAGTTGACTATTCTAAGGCCATAGAACAAGGTTCAAATTCTCACACAGCTGACACTTTTGTACCTGGCTGCTGATTACTTGGTCTCGAATGAACCAGATACATCCATACTGAAGTTTGAGCTTAGTTACAAATTTGAGAATTACTAGTCAAATTGTCGAATGTTAAGGCCTATCAAGCAAATGTGTACATCGACTAAGCATTTAATTCAACCACTGAAGACACATTAGATAGCTGAAATGTTAACATGCTTGAGCATACATGATTTTTAGTTAAGAGTCAGCAAATTTGAGGACATGCAGGCCAAGGATTACTACTATGCAGTTTCCAGAGCCAAAGGACTCTTTCACCACCCATCTGGGTGTGTGTGCTACAGGCCACTGGGCATCTGAATTAGACTTTTAAGTTTTTCATTTTACAGATTTCTCCAAATGGCAGATACTGGTAGTCTCAGGGCCACTTTTGAGCCCTCCACCCCCATCTCTTTATTACAGACCAGTTTGTTCTAGGACACTGAACTCGTGTACTTCACATTGGCTGAATTACTGAGGAAGACGGAAGTGTCTTTGAACACAGACTTTAATGGTAACAATTCCTTTTAAGCTCAATGAGCCTTAACTATTACAAGCCTTTATGCACATGTCACTGTTAAGACAATATTGAGTGACTTGCACTGGGTTCCTCATAAAATATGACATATCACTTAGTGTCAACAATCATGTAACAGTTTTGTTATGCCAACACAAAACATAGCTAATTTGACTTGATCCCAAATCACTAACACAGCATGGTATTGGAAGCATATTTCAACTAAGTCATTAAAATAAAAAGTGAGTGTTTCACGACCCCTGAGACCACTAGTTTAACAGTGGTTCATACTTTAAAAAATTGTGAGTACACCCACATAAGAAAACAAATACTTTTTTTTAAATGAAGTCTTATTACCACATTGCAAACTTGCCCAGGAACAAAAAAATCACTTGAAAGTATCTGATATTGATTTTACCATTAACAGGTCAACTGGACTATAGGTTAAGCAGAACTAAGAACTTATAATCTCAGCGTATGCATTGAAGGCCATATGAAGTATCTAGAAGAGCCAAATTTCAACCTGTGAATATGTACATCAGTCCAACACACGGCACTAGCACTGACAAATGCGGGGAGGGCAAATCCTTGGGTTCTCCTGAACGTTTTATTGGAGACTATCTCATGTCTAAGTGTCCATACATTAAAAAATGTTGGTTTTCCAGGTACTTTACTGTTCTTTTAAACCTGGAGAAGCCTTTATGGCTTGTTCCCTTTTAAATGACATAGAAATGTTGTAGAAAGCATCAAGTTGGACACTCTGTGACCACCAGTGTTTAAGGAAGTCATCTCAATAAATACGTTAACGGTCATCTATGGCTAAAAAGGTCCTTTTGAAAGCCAATATAGGAATCCAGAAGCTCTGGCATTTAACTGCTGACTTCCAAAATATGACGTGCCTACTAAAGCTGTTATTTTGAGATCATAATGTACAGTAATCTCATAATTATTTTGAAAACAGGCTAAGATTACTTCTTACCTTGTGAAGTTACTAATCTCCTATAATCCAAGTCCAAAATAGTTTTAACAGTATGTTATTTACCTTTGATTCATTTAAAGCAAATGTGGACTTACTGGAAAACTACAGCTGGGCTGGTATTTCTCAATGAAATGTGTGTTACAGAATTAAGTTAGAACATCTTCGGAAGACATGCATATCACTTCCAGTTTAAAGAACCTTGTAAGTCAATAAATCATGTCCAAACTACATATTAAAATGCTTATAAAAATCAAGCTTTAACATTTATTTTATATCTAGCTTTCCACATCTGTGTGCAGACACGGAGTAGATTGCACATTAAGTGTAAGCAGTGCAAAAATGTGGAAGTGGAAAAAAGTCACAGATGTATTAGAAATGGCATACAGGATTGTAAGAAAGCAATGGACAAACCAAAATAACCAGGAAAAAAATTAAAACTTTAGGATCAGAATTAGGAAGGGTGAAGAATGATAATGCCCTTGTTACTACAGAAGTTAAGTTAGTGGCACAGATAGCACTTGTCAAACAAATAATCCAATCGCATTGACTTTTATTCATTCATGTTAAGTCCCCTGAAATGGTATCTGTTGCATTTAAATGCTCATTAATGTAGATGGCTGAACAAACCCCTCAGTGGACACTCAGTACCCCACACAGTCATTTCAACACAGCCTCGGGACAGCTCCCACACCAAAACAGGACTTTTATTTTGTAAAATTTGACTCATTATTACCCCCACATTATGGTTTTTTCAGCTGTTGAATGTACAGGGTGAGGAAAAATTTAGTTAGATGGGGTTGTACCTGGAAAATAAATTGTCTGACTCCAAACACACGTCTCAAAGCTGCTGGGTCCCAGGTCCATCTATGAACTCCAGGGCCGCCAGTATCATGTGCAGCACACTAAAGCTACACTCCCAATAGCTTATTAATTCCACGTAATCAGGTCAATCAATGTGTCAACCTGTAACAGACTGCACTTTTAAGTGAACATGGCAAAATATTCGCTCCTCTGGACTTTACATCATCATTTGATGTCAAACAATGAAGCAAATCCCAACAGTATATATATATATATATATATATAAAAAAACCCAGCTTTGCATTTACAAAAGATTGTTTCCCATACTGATTAATCCAGGCAGCTAACTCATTGGTTTATGCAACTTTATTGAAGAAAAATAAATCAATTACTAGCAGAGCTATTAGTTGATCACTCATCCATTGACAACTTGCATCATTTATTCAGTGCTATATTAAACAGTGTATTGGAAGATAGATTAACTAATAGCTCCAAGCCTCCTAACAATTTAAATGAAAATTACAAAATGTTTTGAGACCCTATTTTGGAATACAAAGGGTGTTTGACTTCCAATTTCCATTCTCTGTAGAACAAGAACAGGTCATTCCTTTATTGACATGCATAAAATACATCACATTTTCTGTTCTGCTGATGCTATAAATTCAATACCAATTCTCCAGCCACATCAGTTATGAGCATAAAGTATATCATGTAACCTCAAATCTCTAACAGTGGAAGGTTTAGACAAGAATGGATGCTGCTAGAACAATGCTCTTCTCTGATGTGACCACTGAGCATCCATCATCTCCCCCCCTCAGATGGCTTCTTCAGCATGTTAGAGCAGTGAGGAATGGTTTAGTCTCATAACCAAGTTAGAGTGAAGACATTGGCCACATAATACACATGCTCCATTTTTTAAAAAATTCTGAATCTTGGGCAACTGTTCTCTTGTAACTACTTTACAGTTTCTAAAAGCAGTTATTGTCCAAAGCTGGAAGAACTTAAGTCTTCTCAGATGAGCATGTGAATGAATGGAGGGAGGTAAACAAAAAATAAAATTAAAAAAGATGAGGTCTGACAGGGGAGCAGCCGGATAAGAAAATCAAAAAAAGGAACAGTAATTTAAAGTTTATTCCAGCTCTAATGCAGGTTATTCTGACTGTAAGGTAGCATCACATGGCATACTTCTGAGTCCATTCCCGAGATATTCTGTTGTACCTGTAAATAAAGAAGATGCTATTTAACAAGTTAAAAGGGAGGAGGAAGAATTTCTATTTTACCTCCTGACTCATTATGGAGTCACCTCTAATGGGTACCATTAGTACAAAGTTAACAAGAGGGAAACAACATTGTTACTCAAACATGATGGATAATGAGGCCCTTAGGCTTCCAATACACTGAAAAGTAGTGTTTTAATAAAAGCAGCACTAGACTGCAAAAGCTAGCAAAATATCAAACACCTTTCACTCTACTAGAGGTATTTTACTAAAAAAATCTACCATTAGTATTCACTCGGACAAACTGTACTATTATCAAAACTTACAGTTCATCACGGACTTTGTCAGAATAGTACATACATTCTATACTTCCACTGAAATTTCTGCGAAGACCAAAAACTGGTGATTTTATCGGAAATTCTTAGAAATTACTTAACCCGAGGCATTATCAGAACAGGGAATGCGTTTGTGGGGAAAAAGGGCCTATGGCATTTTGGGATAGAGAGAGGATGGGGAAGACAGTGGGTAGAGTGACAAGAAAGCAAACAGTTTAAGGTAAGAGGTGGTGGTCCTGAATGTTCACTTTAAATCAGACGCTGACTTTAAAACCTGGACTGGAGGGTAACTCCACTTGAGGCTTGAAGGATGGCAATCTCTAGTACAACCAGACACATTTTCAAAAACATGAACAGGTAATTCACACCCAAGCAGTTATTTATTGCCAAAGATCACTACTGATGTTAACTTTGTCCCTGTTATTACAGTCATGCCGTAGAATACTTATCCTAAAAACAAAACTCTTAAGAAATTACATACATTAAAGGCCACAAATGTTTACATTTATAGTTTTAATACTGCATTTTATAAAATATTAATGCTAGCTTCGTTTCAAATAAGGTTCAACCACTTTTCTAAACTTTAACATGTTAAGTTCTTTCTACCAACTCATGGTTACCTCATTTAAGCATATGCTCTCAAAAAGCCAGCACTTTCAACAAATGGCTCATTTAGCATCCAGGGAGCCAAAAAGTATCACTGACACTGAAAGCATGCTTGTCAGTAATGAATGTTTAGTGTAGATATTTAGTTGAAAATGTTTTCCCCCTTAAATTCTCATCTCTTGGCAAAATATAAACTAAATCACCACATTCCACACAAATACTGATAAAGTTCAAAATACACCAACTTTCAAATGAACAATCTGAATGACATACTTTGAAAAGGTAACTTTTCATTTCTCACTAACACTATATAGCTACTTTGCCATGCAAAAAATACTCTCAAGCAGTAGCAACTACTGAGTATACCTTCCCGCTGAAGAGATCAGGCAGTTAAGTGTGCAGCTCTGAGAAAGTGCCACCCTGTGAGCGTGTTAGTGGAGACAGTGCCTCAGAGCATGCAGCACTCAGTGCTGGCAGCACCACGAGTAAGCGCACCGGAGTGCAGGCCCGCTTACCCTACAACAGAGCGTATTTCTCTGTCCACTCTCTCGCTAACCTATTGTACCTAATTGGACAAGTACACTCAGCATTAATCATTAACAAACCAAAGTCATAATGGTGAAGTTGTACATAAAATTGTGTTCGAGGAATTTATTGCATTAAGTTTTTATGGGAGTATTAAGCATTTTTTTCAAAAACATAATTGGGGCTAAGAGAAATGTGCTGTCTTACCCAAAGCTTAATTAAATGACAAAATAATGAGCATGTGAGAAAAGCAGAAATGCTTTAGAGGGGCTATTCACAGTCACATAAAACTAAAACCTAGTAATTTTAAGAACTACATTTCTGTAACTAGCTGTTTGCATATTTTTTCTATCATCTTACCAGTAGTAAGATTCAAGTAAAGTCTTCTCGGCATTGTCACAACTTAACAGCAGAAGGCTGACCACTTAGAAAACCACCTTTTATGCAATTTCCTTCAATGACGACATACTTACTTATCTCTGTCTGTCTTATAGATCCGTGCAATCTCTGGCACTAGGGGGTCATCTGGGTTTGGGTCACATAGCAGTGAACAAATGGATAAAAGAACTGCAAGAATGCAAATGAGACTGTTAGCCAGAACCAGAAATTTGGGGGGAAAAAAGACCATTTAAAAGCATATAGCATGCCCACAGGGGTTACAACTGAGATGGAAAAGGCACAAAATGATGTAAAAATAAACTATTATTAAAAAACAAAAACCAGGCCCTCCCTGGTGGCGCAGCGGGTTAAAGCACAGCACTGAGAATCTGAAGCCACTTCCGCATGAGTTCAATTCCCGCCTGCCCCGGAGGAGACCACATGGCGAGCCAGACCTCTCCTGACCCGCCCGCTGCTTCCCTCAGCAGTGTACTTCGTCGATCTGCCTGTTCTGCTCCCCACTCTGTCTCTGGTGAAGCCTCTCACCACCCCTGAGCCTCTGGCCTGTACCCCAGTTCTGTATGAATAAATAAATAAATCTTAAAAAAAAAAAAACAAAAAAACAAAAACCATATAGCATGAACCACACTCCTCAAAGGATTTTTATTAATGTTTTGATGTCACAAAGTGTCACTAACTTTGCTTCATAGGCAACAAGCTCCTGACAAATAAAAATAAGTGAAGCTAAAAATGGTATCCAGGTTAATGCTGATTACCTAACAAAAATGCTGCCACACTTAGGAATTACAAGGTAGTCAAATGTTGCCATACTGGTTTATTTACTGTTAAATAGTTAAGTGGCACTGGAATCTAAACAAGTTTCTTGGGGTGCTGGGGGAATGGGATGATGGCAACACTGTCCAACAACTTCAGGAAGAACACCTGTGGACACGCGCAGATATTATTCCTACCTGTTAGAAAAAATAAAAAGTAAAAAAATCCATTCTCTGCCCAGGTGGTGGTGGGGGTCCAACACAGAAATCCTAGCGCTGATCCCAAGTGGCGCATGTTTTCAGGTTCATGTGGAATGACTGTTTACTGCCAGACTAACGGGGCACTAACAACTACAAAACTCCAAGATGGAAAAGTTTGGAGTCTCTATTACAGGTGGATGAAGACAACAGTTATCATGAAATTCTGTAATAGGCTTTTAAACCTAAGTGTGGGGGGCAGACACAAAATCGAACACACCCAACACAGCTTTTGGCACCATACTACACTCCCAGTCAACAGTAAGAAATAGGAATGTAGAACCTGGCTTTAGGGACATTGGAAACTAGGGCTAACTTGAAAAGAAAGTAGAATGTAGCCAAGACTTGGTCCAATAATAGATCTAAATTTATGTGACGATTATAGCAGCACCCACCAAAAACATTATAATTTTTTTCTTTACATCCCAAAACGACTCTAGTCAAAACTAAGTCTGGGAAATGCTACGTTGCCCTCCTCTAGGAGATCGGAACACACTGCACAAGCTTATGAAAAGTTTAAAGATACCCAGGGCCTGTTTTCCTTTGCATTGACCACGCTCATAAAAAGCATAGAACACTCTATGGCAAAATATTTTTATTCCAACAATTTGGGGAATGTTAGTCACTAAGTATTCAACCAGAAAACAAGAATGCGTACAGCTAACTATTTTCAAGCATATGGAACATTTGTCATAATTAGCAACATTAAAAACTTAATTTTGTGTAACAAAGGAGTCCTAAGCCACACCAAAGCATGGAAATTATTGCAGGACAGGACTTCCTTGTCATTACAAGTAGTTTTGAAGCAGGTGATTTTATTTGTGGGGTAAAGCGACATACAAGCCACCAGTTATTCAACCACGAAAAAAGTGACGTCGTAGAGACACTTCACCATCAGCCAAGACAGTCATGTGGGGAGGGGACAACCCACTAGAGATGTTACACATGGCTCCATAGTAAATGTACAAGAGCAGATTTCATCTAGAGGCACTTTAGAAACTCATTTAGATAGTCATTAAGCAGATATCCCACCATGTTCACTTAGCTAGCTATGGGGTTTACAAGCTTTTAAAAAAAAACAAAACAAAACAAAACACAGAAAAAGTCCAGATTTTCCTATAATGGAAACCCCAAGATTTAAAAGCTCTATTAACTTTAGGCATACCGTTTTGTTAAAAGACATCAAGGAAGATAGCGAGATGTACAAGTGGCTTGGGAGAACAAATACCAAGATCTATTAAAACAAAATTTGCTATTATTTACAAATAATGTCTACTCCCTAATACAGATTTTAACATCCCCCAGAATCTGTCGTCTTAAATTTACAGTTTTTTAACCTACAAAATCTTTCAAAACTGTCAAAAGAGCAAAACTGAGACCACTTATTTCTTGCCCACCTCTCAAAGTTGATACAAAAATTCAGCTGTTAGCCCAGCACAAGTCTTATTTCTCTGTTAAGTATTTTTACCTTTAGAAATAGTTAAAGCAGGAGACCACTGTGATCTTAGAATATCAAGACAAATGCTGCCATTACTGTTAATATTTGGATGATAAATTCTTGTTGTAAATGCAACCTAAAATAGATAAAAGACTTTTAGATATTTTCCCCAAGTAATGACAAACACCCTAAAAATTCAAACAGGAGACTTTTAGGAAAACTTAAAATAGTCCCAATTTCAGTAAATTAGGCTAAAACCTAAATTACATACATGAAAGATGAAAATTACAGAAACAGGTTTTTAATACTCCAAGATATATAATTCAAGATACCTGAGGAGTCGCCCTTTCAATTAAAATGACCAGCAACAATTTTATTCAACAGTACGGCAGGATGTTTCGTACTTCAGTCCTACCTTGTGTCAAACAGGAATTTGAAGGCTATTAAACATTCACGAAAAAGTATGTAACTTCTGAATGTAACCACAATGTACAGAACAGCTCTGTTTAAGTCACCAAATTACCAAGGTATTTGAGCCTGCATTTTACTGTATGTGGAAAATGAACATGACTATCCCAAACATTATCTTTGCTATTCATACCGGTTGAATTAATGCTAAGTCAAAGATTACATGCTTTTCATATCTATAAAAAGTCACCTTAGTGCATTAGACAACTCTGTTTGGATAATCAGTTGTTCATGCAAACTCAAACCCTAAGATCACAACAGAAACACAGTGACACTTCAAAAAGCAAACCATCCATGTACTGTTATGTGAGGCTTGCAACACTGAGGACAAGCCAATTCTTATCTCCATATACAAAGTTCAAACCTAGGTCTGGCTGTAACTAAAAGTTAAGAGTCAACATTTTCTGTCAGTGACTCACTTCTATACACACAGACACTGAATTATTCTTATTCACTATCTATATACACAAACACCCATTTAGCTTTAATTATCCAGAACCCTTACTTTTTAGGAGTGCTCTATTCCTCTGAAAAAATAATAAATAAATTCAAACTAACATATTTTAGGGGCGGGAAGGAATACTTGCCTTAGGTGGTTTGAAGGGGTAATCTGTAGGAAAATGAATTGTCAAAAAGAATACACCGCCTTGATATGGGCTGTCATTCTGTGAATACAAAAACATGTTTAATTCTTGATATTTAAAATATTGTAAATAATCCATAACATCTCTATTTCCAAAGCATTTCTCTAATTTAAACCCAAGTTACCTAATAGAATCTAAATCAGCCCACAACTCAGTTAATATTAATGGAAGAAATACCAAGCTTTCTAATTAACAGTTTCACTTAGATCCCATTTGCCTAAGAAATTGTAGAAAAAGTCCAGAAACACAAACGTTCTCGATCTGGTAGCTCACCAAAGTACACTCAACTGTAAACCTACGTTCAGTACTATCTATCAAGCAAACGTATGATGAGAATGAAAGCTGCATTTGTAGAATATCTTCTGATGAAAGTCATGTACACTGCTACTCTGGCAAACAAAATCTTAGCTACTGTAGGTGACCTGCAACTACCTTCAACAGCAGAAGCAGAACACAAAGACGTTTTAAGGAAAGTTTAGTTTCCAGGTGGCTCCTCAAAATTCCCACTTTTAAAAACATTTTTTTTTCTTTTGAATGCATACCCAATTCTTTACAGCAAATCGACAGGAGTACTATGGAAAACATGGCATGTTTGTTTTTCTACTTCAGTAGAAAATATAAATTTTCAGGCATGCACATCATACTTTCTCCTCTGCTTTTCTGCTAATTATACTTTGAGTATAAAGAATCCCTTACAAAATACATCTTACAAGTGTCTCCATGAATAAACCTTTGGGAGATACTACTAGGTAGAGCTCACATTTTATTCTAGTAAAGTTATAAAATAGGCCAATATGGAAGACTGCAATTTAAGGTTACGCCTACATATTAAAGTTTCTGTAAACTACAAGTCTAAAACTTTTGTTCAAGCTTTCACTCCCATCAAATAATGTACCTGCTTAATACAGTCTATGATGGATTTAAGCAAAACCAATTCTATTTCACGGTTACAATTCAACTCCGAATCAAAATCAAAAACATGTTAAAAGATCAGAATGCAACTAAAATATGCTAACCCCCCCCCCAATTGACACTATTACTAAAGAAAATCAACTTTACTTTTAAATTGACAGTAAACCAAACACAAGTTAATCAGCAAACTGACCCAAGTCTTAGAGGAAACCCAGAACATATATGCTAGGTGTCTTTGAGAAACCTACTCTTGATTTTTGTTTTTCAAATCAGTCCAAGCTGCCATCCTTCCTATCACTTATTTTGGTGACTCCTGAATTGTTCTCTAGTGAATCCAGCCCAGGACATATATGGATGTTTCCACTTGATGTCTATCTAATGTGTCCAAAACTCAAACCACAGTGAATCAAACCAGACATTACAGCTGCATTCTCATTTCTTCAAAGTCAGAATAGTTAAAGAAATGTAAAGATCTTTACACTCTCTTACAACTCCTCTCCTCTGAGCACACTGCCACTAAACAACTCAGGTCAAACCTTTCTATCTTTTGTTCACATTATGACAATGCCTTGCCATGGCACTGACCTTTCTCCACTTTATCCCTCTAACCCTCATGCTGAAGTGTTTTAAAAGGTTGTGCTATGTTATGTTACCTCCCTGCTGGAAATCTAGCACAACTTTGAAGATAAAGTTCAAACTCCTACGCATACAGGTAAATCCACTACCAAGGTGGTTCCCACCAATCTAGTTTGTCTCATTTCCACCTACTCTCCAGAATATACTCTTTACTACACAAGTGTTTCTCTTCTTCCCTTTCTTCTATTTCTTTCCTCCTACTTGGTAATTTCATCCACTCCCTATTTGGAATTTTCATTAAAAAGTTTTCTAGTCTCCAATGTAATATCACTCAGCCAAAAAAAAAAAAAAAAGATAAACTCACGCCTTTTGCAGCAATGTAAGATGGGATCATGCTTAGTGAAATAAGCCAGAAAGAAAAAGAAAAATAACAGATAGTTTTCACCACTAGCGGGAATATAAAGGACTGGGGGAAAAAATAATAATAAGCAACTATACACCAGAGACATTTTATGGGGGTGGAGTGCACGGGACCATGGTGATGACACATGGGTGATTTGGCAATGGGAAGCCCATAGGGATTACAACTGAGATGGAAAAAGGCACAAAATGATCTAAAAATAAACTATTATTAAAAATGAAAAGTTTTCGTGTATCATTTATCAATCTTGGCAAAAAATGACAATGCATTTAACAAACTGAAAAAGATAACCTTGACCAATTAAAACAAGACCCTGGACAAGCTATTTTATTATAAATTGCTTTTTGTCCCTTATTTCTTCAGGTTGCCTAAAGGTCACATTTACATAAAAAAGTACCTATAGGTAAATCAAAGTAGGTGAAAGTTAGTTTGACTAGTTCTTCAAGTAATTCCAAAATCCCAATCATCTCCATTTCAAAGAAGAAAAAAATCCACATGGAGGTTATATTCTAGAAAACACACAGACTACAGATAATGAATGACTAACTCATTAAATTGTTTCTTTAAAAGAAGTTGAACTATGACATATCCAAAACACAATCACTGTTAATAAAAGGAACCTAGAAAACAAGTCAAAAAAACCATAACTCGATCAGTCCTGGATTTCCAACAAAAACCAAAAATCGAAGTATTTAATACTTACAGGTCCCATAATTGTGGCTTGCCAATGAAACACTGGGGGGGGGGGGAGAGAAAGAAAAGAATTGTTATCATCTAAAAATGTACATGCTCTTTGGAATTACCATAAAAATGAACTTGGAAGTTACTTACTATCATCCCCCACTGGACCTGCAGAACATTGTGCTGGAGGGTCACGGGCCAAATCACTAAGTTCCTACACCAAGACAGAAAATGATGGGTCATGTAACCTTAACAGAAAACACAAGCAAGCAAAGAGAGTCAACTGCTTCTGGTTACTTTCACCAATTTAAGGAAAATGTAACAATTTACATTACATTTTATTGAGAGAAAAAAACTTAAGTAACCCCAGCCCATTTCTAGGACATGGCAGGTACAAATATTTTATGGGCACATTCCAGATGACCGTGGCCAGAATCCATGAACATATACATATATAATGCACTGTTACGTGAAAATTCTGATTAGAAGAAAAGAACTGTCTTGCTGTAAAATGAAGGAGCTTATAGCTTAAGAATTCAGATAATGGGCCTTTCTGGTAGTGCAAAGTACTGAAGTGCAGAACTACCCTGCAACCACTAGAGCTGACCCACAGGACTCAGCAGATATCTTCTGTCTAGCTCGCTGCTCCCCGCAGCAGTGTGTTTCAGTCCATCTGCCAGGCTCTGCTCTCCACTGTCTCTGGTGCATCCGCATTCCCTGCACCTCTCATATGCATCAGTAACTCTTAAAAGAATTCAAGTAAAGCTGCCCTCAGCATGTATGCTGTCACTGAACTTTCACACCATCTTCCAAGGCTCTTATTTCCACTGTCTTTGAAACTGTTATTTCTGCACCTCGCTGACCCCTTTTTTTTTAAAATCGCTCATGGTGCTAGATTCTTTTGGCTTCATCTCCTTATTCCCTCAACTCAACCTAGTCTTTACTCAATGTTGAAGAAATGGCAACGCCTATCTCTCTAGGTAGGCAAGTTTGCTCTTAGCAAGACACGTAGCTTCTTCAATTACTTCTGACCTTGTATATCCAACAAATATGTAAGTGTGTCTTTCTATAACCGGACACAGGAAATAGTTACACACCAGTGAGGGAAAAAGTTGTAAAAAAAAAAATCATGATATAATGATAGCTATATATGCCTACATATAAAATTCCTTGGACTAGAAATTTATAGACCACCAGAGAATAAATAGTGGGTCCCTAAGGGAAGATACAAGATAGCAGAGTTAATCAGAATACTTGCCTCCAATGTTCAACGTATACTTCAAAAAAAAGGCCAAAATCAACACTAGTTAGCCGAGATTTACTGCATTAAGTTATGCAGTAATAATAACTGTAGTAATTTCACAACACACACATACATACATACATCACAATCATGGTATATACACATCTATCACTAATACAGATTCAGTATGTCATAAAACTGGGAGAGAATTATATTGACACAGTCTGCCAGTTTGTTTCTGAAACAATACAATTCCTTATAAGGTCATCCAACACAATCTTAAGACGGAGGATCCGATCAGACTTTTTGCTAATCTTTGTAAATATGCTTGTATGAGTCAACATATTTTAAGACCTAAAACTCATTGCGCGCTTTTTATCAGTAGAAGTTACAGTAAATTTTTATCTCTAGTAGTTAAAAACTATAGGTTTTAGCTTTTAAAGATCTCAGAAAACAGTGAACAATGTCTGAACCAAGTATTTAAAAACTACTATAAAAAGATATTCTGGCAAGTTAAGTTAACCACCTACCCATTTCGGAGCAAATGACTTCTCATGGACCATACACCAAGTCTTACACAGCAATTAGCTGCATGCCATGGGATAAGCCTAATTTTTGTTTATAATGGCAATCTGCTTTAACGCCCTCTTTATCTTATGATAAGAACAGAAAACTCTCATGTCCAAAAACTTACAAATAACAAGTTCTACTGTTTAACATTTCCCACCCCTGCAAAAGACAAGCTTGAAGCCACTCTCTGTACTTCCTTTTTCCTTAAGAAGGGTAGAAGTCCAAATAATTCACGTTAAGGTTTAAAGACTTACTGCTCCACAACTATGTGCCAGAGACATTTGGTGATGGCACACGGGTGCTTACAACCGAGATGGAAAAAGGCACAAAATGATATAAAAATAAAACCATTATAATAATATTTTTTTTAAAAACCCGTTTCAAAGAACCCTTTGCCCACTTAACAAAAGATCATAGTCTGACTTTTCAAAAAATGTTATTAAAACCCAAATGCAAATTTATACGTGCAATTCAAAAGCCCCAACACATCCTAAGTACAAACAGATACACACTGCAGCCAATATGGTAGCAGTTTGTAGTCTCACTTTTAAATGACACTGTTTTGAGATAATGTTCCCTCACTTTTGAAACAACTTTCATGAACAGGCTACCTGCAATAACAGAGCCTTACCTCACTTGTATTTCGAGCCCATCTGATAAACCCATGTGCGTATCTCTGTCTGTAACACAGCTGCCTAGCAATTTAAGTCATGCTATTAACAACACATCAGTTAACACAAGGTGAGCAAGTTCATGGAGCATTTGTGGGTAGGACTTTAAAGAAAATATGCTATTAGGCTGTCACATGAAATAACCAACTTCATTCTACTTCTGAATTACAGAAATTTCAATTTCAGGTGATTCTCTCTACAAATGTCTGGTAAGTATTGAAATCAAGCATTCCCAAGAATGCTTATACTGACCTATCCACCATACAATACCTACTTAAAAAACACAGGCTTGAATGTAATAGATTAAACTAAAATCCTCGAAGAAAAATATCTAGTAGTTGTTTTTCAATAAAAACCAATGTTCATGCTGGCAGGTCTAAGAAAATGCCTAACAACACTGAAACACCCTCATTATAAATGAAAATTTAGCAATGGGCAGAGTTGACCTAGAATATCTCAACACCCTACTCAAAACATATATATTTTAATTATGAATGATATGCTATCTCTCAAAGAAGAAATGAGTTGTTGTGCCCAATGACTTGTGAATCACCAAGCCTTTACATAAACTTGTATTATCAATCTGTTGGAGTGAATGCATGATCTCACCTAGCGAACACTGAATTCTGGGGTCTTATTACTACTTTCAGTTAATTTCTAACTGCCTTATTTTCCACATCTTATAATAATCAACACCTAAAATTTGGCCAATTATATGAATATCTACTTTAATTTCAACACCGAAAAAGGACTTAAAGAATTAAAATTTATCTTTTAAATCCTGTACCTGAACTTCCCTCCCACGATACCAAAAATTCTGACTTTATTATACTCATAGCAAAAACGAACAAGAGACTCTTAGCAGGGTGAAAAAATGGGGCCACTCGTCCATATATACCTCCTCGATGTGGCCTACCAAAACAAAACAAAACAAAACAAACAAACAAAAAAACCCCACCATGTCCTACCTTTCATGTGGATGTTTCCCCCTCATTCCAAATATGCCAACCAATTACTCACTTAATGTTAACCATAAAATTTTGTTCCTTCAGCCTCAGTGATTAACAGGTCAAAAAATAACCATGACCATTTCAGTGTGTCCCCTCTTTCCCAAGGTTTTCAATCTTCTCTAATGAGCTGTGAGGATATGACCCAGAGCCACAGGCATGTGCCCTGAAATTACAGGCGAATGAAGGAGACCAAGTTGGGTGTCAGAGATAACTCAGAACTGACTGCAATATGAATGTGTTAGTCAGTTCCGAGCTTGCTCCATCTCCTTGCTAAAGCTATTCTTTCCAATGCAAAAGACCCCAGTTTCCTTCTAATATCCAAGAGGGGCAAACCAAAACATGCAACAGCTAAAGAGAGCCCCACCCTGAGCAGAGTGCTACTAGGGTGGCGGCACACTGTCAATTACACATTTTACTGCATCTAAAGAAAACAACTCCATGCTTGAGGTCTTGCTGACAAAGACAACTCAAATCTTAATGAAGCAAAAACTTCAGAATTAAACCAGAGCAAGAAGCCACATATCCTAACTAGCAAAATGTCTCAATGTGATTACAGAACGAGAAATTAATTTACATTGAGTTTTCAAAGTCTCATCACCAAAACATTCCATTTATTCATAAGCAGACTGACTGCCTTTTAGGCAGGAAGCATGGTAAGGTGCGAAAATACCAAGACAAGACATGAACAGCTTCTTCCAAAAGACTGACCAACGGAAAGTAGGCACAATAAATAAAAAAATTACATTTTAGCCATGTAAGTGGTTAAAATAAAAGCATTCAAAAGGTTTGTGAACCCTGAAAAGGTAAACATTGGCCTTGCTAGGGTTTGAAACAGTGACATTTGAGCTGTATTGTGATGAATGAGCATCCAAGAAGAAACTCAAAGCCAGGGGTGTGAAGGCTCACAGGTTGTAAACACCTGTTTATAGTTTGGTCTGAGACACAAGATGCTGGAGGTGAGTAGATGTGCTAAAAAAGGGGGCTGGTTATTTTAAGAATCTTTAATTGTAGCAAAGTCTACTCCACAGGTTAAGTTTTATTTATTTTTTAAACTAAGTTATATCCTAAATACACCCATGTATCTGTGTACCCATTTAGTAGGTACAGACAGGGCAGATTAGCAGGTGAATACATGGGTAACTTGTGGCAGTAATTCAGTAAAGAGGACATTCATTAAAAGCCACTGGGATGAGAATGATATGAAACACTGAGCATTATTACCCATGGCTACAGCCTTATCTCCCTTTTACCAGGAGAACGGGAGACCTGAGTTCATGGGTAGGACACACTGAAGATCTAGCAGACACCTTGAAAAACAGGTCTAGAGTCAGAACAGGTCTTTCAGAAAGACCAGTTTCTCATAGTAAGGATGTGTTTAAAAACTGATGGTTTTTTCACCTTATTTAATGACATTAAAATTTAAAAGTATCATAGCTTTAAGGGACAGACTTAAAACCAATCAACAGGTACAGCGTGTTTGCCTTTGGAGGTATGTGACTAAAGAAGTTTGACCATTCCTGTTTCAGGACTCATTATTTCAAGGAAAATCTTCTTTGATCTTTGGAGACACAGGAGCTCTGTAACAGTTTAGTTTTAAGCAAAAACACAAAAAGGCCAAGAGACTCTGCTCTAAAAGCTTCCGTGTACTATTTGTATTTTTGCTGCTCAGTATCTACACCTCATTCAATGACTACGCAAAAACAGCAAGCCATGGTACTGAACACATTTAACAATCTGAAGAAATGATAGGAA